AGCTTGCTGTGGCCTTTGGGGCAGTTCCATAAACTGACAATCATTGATAAGATTCCTTAAACACTTACTATGTGCCACACACTGTGCTGAGAACATAAAATTCATTAGTTCATTTAACATTTCCAACATGCCTATGAAGTCATTTCCTTTTACACTTAGTCCCCCTTTACAGATTAAAAAAAAAGTAAGGTTCAAACAGCTAGTAAAGGACAGTGCTGGGATTGAAATCCAGATCTGACTCTACCCCCAAACCCCACCAAGACCTTGCTTTTTTAACCCCTTAGTATCTCCTCCCTAAGCCAGAGGAGACATCTCTAAGGGCTGCTTTTCTTGCCGTTAGAATACCTCCTTCTCAGAGGTAGAAACTCTCCCACACAGGAAAGACTGCCTCATGTGAGCAAGAAACCCCACCCTGGACAAACACCCCGGGGCTCAACTCTCCCAAATCCACGCAGAGCCCCAACCACACCTCCTTAAAGGAGGTCTGTATTGCCTAACAGAGACCCCACTCTTGGGGACAATCCTTTAATTTGGAAGGAAACGCCTTCCCTTCCTGAAGCCCTCCCTCAATCTTGAGGATGCCCTCCCCTAAATATGTCAGAGCACGACGCCCAGTGCAAAATGAAAACGTGGGGCCCCTTGTCAAAAAATTAAGTGTTTCAAGAATGAGACAGCAGAGCATTAAACCAAGTTCTGGGACCCCTCCTGTGCGACTGCACTGGTGGCTTGACGGTGAAGCCGCCCCTGCTTCAGAGATACTCTTTCACCAAAGGGAGAAGCCATCTCAGTCACAATTCGTGAATCCTTATGTGGGGGGTTGACGACACACCTTCTTGAGACTGTCGTTCAAGAACACACCCTGGGACAACCTCTGTGAATGTGGAATCACTTCCCTTGGCGCCTGCGGAAACTCCTCTCTCACCCCTTCAAGCAGCTGGGTGGTCCTCGAGACCCAGCCTCGACTCCACCTTCCCGAAGTGTGGGCCTCACCGCGTGGGGCCCATTGCCAGGGCAACCGACGCCGTGAGCGGTGCATTGTGGTCTGCAACAAAATGCGGGAGAAAGATCCTGAGGGAACCATTGAGTCCACGGACCAATGGGAGAATTCTGTGGGCTGCGTTAAGCCAATAGGGACGAGCGGCTGGGGGCGGGGCCAGCGGGAGCGGGGCGGGGCCTGAGCACTAGGCGGCGGCGTCTGGCGTGGGGCTGCTTAGATGCGCCACGGCTTCGGTTGCTACCGCAGCTGTTTGTGGGCTTGAGCTGTGCTAGCACCTCCCCCAGGAGACCGTTGCAGTCGGCTAGCCCTTTCTCCTCGGTGAGAAATTCGAAGGCTCCAAGGGGGTGTCCTCGCTTTTTTCGCTACCTGGTTTCGACCCCGCCGCGCTTATCTCGCCGCGCGGCCCGCGCTTCCTGAGGAGAAGTGGGGTGGGGGGCGGCGTCCCTGGTGGTGCGGGCCGAGCGTCGGGGGCGGGCGCCTTGGTGGCGCGGCCCACACCCCAAACTCCTCACCCCTTTGCCCGGGCCTTGCCCCTCAGGTAACCATGTGCGACCGAAAGGCCGTGATCAAAAATGCGGACATGTCGGAGGAGATGCAACAGGACTCCGTGGAGTGCGCTACTCAGGCGTTGGAGAAATATAACATAGAAAAGGACATTGCGGCCCATATCAAGAAGGTGAGGACGGGGCGCGGGGGCCAGGGGGGCGTCGCAGCTGGGAGCGGGGAGTTCCTTTTCTCCAAGCCTGCGTTCCCAGAGCGCCTTTGGAGCACTCTGGGAGGCTCGGGGCGTGGAGGTTTCTAGAAAGGACGCACGTGAATTTTGCGCTCCTCCTGGAAGACCAGAGCCTCGGCGCCCGAAGTTTTTTTTTTTTTTTTAAACCCAGCTCCACGGGGTGAAAGCGCCACCTAGCAACGGTAGCTAAGATCAGGGAGCAGCGGTTCCCCCTTCTGTGTGATTCCTGCGCCGAGGATCCATCTGGGTGTTCCGGAGGGGGGAGCTGCGTGGGTGTTTCCAGCCGGGCTGGAAGGAGGTCTTGCCAGCCTTCCAGTGGGGAGTCAGTCGGCAGTTGCGGGAAAGTAGGTGGTGGTGGGGGGGTTGGGGGCTGGGGTGGGGGGCTTGGTAAATGGCAGTCTGTAGAAAGCTGGCAGCACTGCCAACTTCTCCAGCAATGTTTGCTGGAAGGGAAGGAAGCTGGCAGCCCAAGCCGTGGGAGGGTTCCAGTCGCGAATGGAGAGATGAAAGACTTCAGATGGAACAGAAATAAATACCTTTTTTGACAAACGCAGCAGTGTGTGCATATAATTTGTAAGAACGTTTACTCCTCTTAACAGATTTAAATGGTTTTCTCACTGCAGGCAATGTAAGAGTAGCCAAATTCTGTGTGATTCCCCACAAAGGCTTGTAAGAATTTTTATAAAGAAAGATTTCTTTGGCCGCTGCCTACACAGGCATTCTAGTCCCCAGTGCCCTTTGGGGCGGGGGAAATGGTGAAGAATTCTTGCAACTTGCTAACCTAGTGAACCAGCCAGTAGATTAGCACCATCAGGATACCTGTAGACAGGAGGGCTGTTTGAATTATACTTCAGTATGAAATTGAGCCGTTGCCTGTCAGATTCTGTTTTCAGCATTTCTTTTTTTTATAGGAACAATGGAGTGCTTAAGTGCCCCTATACATTTAATTTTGATTAAATTAAACCATTTGGTGTAAGGTGCTAATTGAAGCTTTGTCCTTTTGGAAGTCTTGATTCCGTGGTGCTGGAGTGCAGTTAAAAACTTGGTGATGAGGAATGGGGTTCAGTTGGGTATTTGGGGCTACATTTTTACCATTTTATTGTATTTGGGTGCATAGCAAATATAATAGGGTAGTTCTGTTTACACAGAAGAACATGATAAACTACAACTGTTGATATCACCTGCTGTCAATGAAGTAGAATATTATAGAAAGTGTAATTATCATTGTAACAAAGCACCCTGACTTTGAGGCTGACCCTTCTGCCTTTTACCTCCACAGCTCCTATTCATCTTAGTTCAGACTGCAAGTATGTTTGCATTAATGCGCTATGTAGGCGACTTGGAGCTGGGGAACATTCTTTCATTCTAAGAATTTGCAGATACTAACGTTCTTCTTTTCTGCCCCTACAGGCTCTGGCTTATCCAGGAGGCAGACTCCTACCTACCTTTGATCACTAAAATTCCAGTTTTTTTTTTCTTTCCCAGGAGTTTGACAAGAAGTACAATCCCACCTGGCATTGCATTGTGGGGAGGAACTTCGGTAGTTATGTGACACACGAAACCAAGCACTTCATCTACTTCTACCTGGGCCAAGTGGCCATTCTTCTGTTCAAATCTGGTTAAAAGCATGGACTGTGCTACACACCCAGTGATCCATCCAAAAAACAAGGACTGTAGCCTAAATTCCAAATACCAGAGACTGAAATTTTCAGCCTTGTGAAGGGAACACCTCGATCTTTGAACCTTTATTGTGTTTTGTACAGGGGGCATTCTCTGTACTAGTTTGTTGTGGTTATAAAATAATTAGCAAAACAGCTTACATTTGTATTTATTTTCTATTCCATAATTTTGCCCCATGTTTTTTTCTCTCAAAATCCATTCCTTTAAAAAATAAATCTGTTGCAGGTGTGTATGTGTGTGAATTTGTTCAAATCACAGAGGGTTAAAGATGGTCACTTGATTAAGTGAGTGAATTGGTGGGGATGAGTCCTTTGTTAGAGAAGTTTCTGGAAGGATTCTGTGGGATACAGTAGTCTAGCCATTTCAGTATTCTTGAGTCTTTCCAGTTCTTACCCACCTTGCAACTATAGTGCATGTTGAAAAATACATGACAAACTTTCGGATTAAATTTTAGACCTAATGTAAAAGCATTTGAGGATAATATTTTTTAAATTGCTATAGAATGTTCTGGGCCTCTGGCCTCAGGTGGTGGTGGTGGATGTGTAGTTGTACTCCTTTAAGCTTTCTATGGCTGTAAAGTGGCAGTAAATAATGAAGTTCGTTGCCGGACTCCAGGCTATGCCCATCCTGTGCCTAGAATGAAGATGGTCTTGAAAAGTTTTTGAGCAGCAGCTCTCCATGCGTTTTAAATAAAGTCTGTGGGAATTAATATTTTTAACCTACTGTGCTTTAACTAGTTGCGGTCAAAAACTGGTTAACAAATGTGAATTGAAGCTTTTTCCTTAAAAAGACTCAAAGCTATGGATAAAGTTTTCCTGCTACTGACTTGGGGAAGATTGCAGTCTTAGGAAGAAAACCAAATATGGCAGATTTAGCTTTTATAGGTAGAAGGAAATACGCTAGAGGCTGAAACAACCCACACCCACCTTGGGTAATTACAAGAACGGTCTTGATTTCTAGTTGCATATGTAATTTTCCTTTGCATTTGTAAGATGCCTTTGGGATTTCTGAGCAGCCGGGCTATGGCTGTAAAGAAAGTGATAAATTTGATAGGTCATGACCCCCCTCTTAAGAGTAGCATTAGGTCAGTAACCTCTGGAAGTTTTTCTTCACCAGTAGGGGACCTAGTGATGCTAGGGGTCCTAGTAGGTTTTAGGGCCCCACATTAGGACTGGGAGGGTTTCAGGGCAGAGGTGCAAAAGTTTGTTTTACCATTGTGGCAGTTTTCCCCCTGCTGTCTGCAGGAAAGAGGGATGAGGTACTGTGGGACAAACAGGAGACTGCAATTGGGGTGACTTAGGTTTATATTTATGTAAACAGACTGAAAATGTTGCCGTAATTCATCTTTTTGCTATCCCCTTTCCCTCTTAAGTGACCTGGCTAGATTTCTATTTGAAGCCCAGCAGGAATCTGGCCTCTGAAACTGTATCTTGTCCAATTAGCCCTACTCCAAATAGACGATCTGTCTCCAGCAATAGACCCCAGAGCTGATTCGAGACCATATAGCTAGACATTGGGGGTTCTGATTGAATTTGATCTGGCCCATTATCTACTGTTGGGAGGTTGGCAGCTTTTAACTTTTATTTTTTGATTCGGATGTGAGAAAATCACGTTGCTATGGAGATAAGACTGGGTTGTTGGTTTATGAAGTTCCTTCCAGTGCCTGCTCCTTCCTGTTAATTTCAAAGGCCAATAGGCTCCAGCTGGCTGAAAAAATGTAAGCTAAAAGTTTTTCTAAGCATTTATCAAATGCTCTTAGCTATTGTTCTTTGGAGAGAGTTGTATACAGCTGGTTGTATCTGGAAGCTTATCAGTGAGAGGGCAGGATCTTGCTAAGTGAAGGTATATAAATGATCCTGTACTGTGCCCCTTAAAAACCTAAAGTGTCATCTACACAAAATACTTATGGCCTCATTTTAACATCAAACAGTGGGCAGTAGTAAGGAGACAAGCTCTGCCGAGCTCCGTCCCTGAGTATTGGAGGTTAGGCTACACAAATAGTTTTCAAACTTTTTTTTTTTGCTATAAAACTTTTTCTTCAAATGTATTTTGACAAAAAAGCTCCCTATATAAGACATGAAAGCAAGAGTTTGCTGGTACAGTTATTCTTCCAATGAGGATTTAGTGAGTGGTTTTCGTTATGATAAGACTGAGGTCACATAGTAGCTTTGGTAGAAGATGATTGACTGAAAGAATGATGGAAAAAAATGTATTTCCTCAAGAAAAAATGGCAAATATCACCAAATTGTAAACTCATTTACTGATTGAGCACACAATTCTAGTAGTGATTGTTAGCCCTCTGACTTGGGCCTTGGCTTTTGGCCCTAGACTCAGTCCTAGGCTGAAAGGTTGATTCAGGTATAGTTCAGTTTTCCGGTTAAAATCATCATTGGGATCAATGATCCATTATCCCTCTGAAAGGCAGCACAAGTAGAGAAGCTACAAATACACTTCCAAACTGTGCTTTAGTGCTGGTTTTACCTTAACCACACACTGCACAGCCAAGAGAAATTTAGCAGGAGTCGAGCAAAAAACCAGACCAAATAACTCTGGGAGAAAGCCTGATGCAGCAACTAATGTAAGCTGCAAAAAGTGACAGGCATTTGTTTCTTCTGCTTTGAGATTGGTCACTTCAGAACATGAGTCCAAGGCACATATCCTTAAGAGGAGATGCTCTACTGCTGTCTCATTTGCCAGATTATCCTTCAGTTCCAGGCTTTCAACAGGATGTGACTGGTTCACGCTCCAGGATAGGAAAGGAGTTAAAGTTTGAAGCCAGAATGAATGGCCACAATGCCTGATGTTAGACTTTCGTAAGTCACCTTGTGGAAACCTGCATCTTCTATCATCTCCTTGAACTCTTCCTGTAACACAAGGAAAGATACAGCAAGGATTGCCCGGATTTCAACTTTAGGGTCTTTGTTTTAAGCTATAGAAGTTTTGTACCTGAGATGGGAACCTTCGGATACTCTCTACGAGGTACTGATAGGACTTCCAGTCTCCTGCAATGACCTCTCCCAGGACAGGAATGACCTGGAAGCTATATAGATCATAAAGCCTAAGCAAACAAAAAAGTAAAAGATTAGATTGAACATCCGTTGATTTCTCCCCTAGATAAGAAGCAAGAAGGTCTAAGACTGGGGTGACAAACTCATAGGGCTATAGGGATCGAACAGCTACCTGAAATAAGTGAAGTGGGCTAGGTGTGGTGACAGGTACAGTTCAGAAAGTATCATAAAAGTGGAGAATGGGGCCAGGCGCGGTGGCTCACGCCTGTAATCCTAGCTCTCTGGGAGGCTGAGGCGGGCGGATCGTTTGAGCTCAGGAGTTCGAGACCAGCCTGAGCAAGAGCGAGACCC